GATTCCTCTCTTGCCTTGTCAGAATTGCCTCCCAGGACAGTGATCTTGCTGCTACTGTAGTTGTAGCCGTAGACTTGGCATTCTCGTGTTCCCCTCCCTCCCAATTCTCTTTCCCCACCAAATTAAGGCAGGAAACAGGAAATCTGTCTCTGCTTAATGAGCTGGAGACATTAAAACAAAGAAAAAGCCACTGCGTTTAATATTCCGCAGGTGTATCAGCTTCTATCCCAGGTAGTCACCTGCAGTTCCTAAAGAAAACAAAGCAAGCAAGCAATTGGAATGTGGCAGAATTATGGGATGGCAGGACTGGGCTCAGGGATCGGGCTCTTGCACATAAGCAGCATCCTGGTTCCTCCTCCACCCCATCCAGATGAAACTTTGCTCAAGAAACCAGGATAAATAACAGAAGGTGATGGGAGTACCTTCAGCCAAGGCTCAGAAATGCACAACTGATGGCCAAGATGCTAAATGCTGCACCCAGCCACGTATGGTGGTCTTTCTAACAGAATGGGAGGAGCCATTTCATAGTGGGAGGGGGAATAGTGGTGGAAAGAGAGTTCACACAGAGAGAGAGAGAGAGAGAGAGAGAGAGAACAAAACAGTCCATATCTGAAAGCCACGGTGCAGCTAGAGGAGTAGCCTACAGAGCAAAACAGCTTGGCAGTTTCAGCACCATGGAGAGATCCAAGGTTGCAATTTGATTCAACAAGAGTTGGGAGATGAGACCAGAGGCATTTTGAACCTCTGCCTCTTGCCCACTTCTCCTCCGCCCTGCACTCTTTAAAGGAGGCCTAGGTGGTGCCAGTGAAGAAATTTGATTTTGTTCACATTTTAAGGAGAAACTACCTCATTTGCACTTCTTGAACCAATATGCAAACCAGAACACAGCTATCTGTCAAAATGCACATTTCTCCAAATGTTGCTATTCAGCAGGCGGTGTGTACAAAGATGCACAGAGGAGCAAAGTGTTCAAAGAAATGTATATATAAGTGAAAAACACACAGAGAGGTGTGTTATATTAAGGAAAAGTGCTTGTGAAATGTGTATGTGTCAAAACTGCATAGAAAAGTGTCTTGATTAGGAGAAACTTGCATTAAAATGCTGGTGAACTTTCATGAGGATTTGCAAATTTATGTGGAAGAATGAATTTAAGATTGGGGGAAAATCAGAAACTGAGAGAACTAGAACTGAGCAGTCTGTCCATCGCTGACACTAGAGAACCTCTCCAAGGAACAACAACCCCTCACTCTTAAAGGCAAGTCCTTCTCCTGCCTTCCATCACGGCCTCCTTCCACCTAGAGCAGGGGTCAGCAAAGTTTTTGTGGCTTGGGCCAGTTCACGGTCCTGCAGACGCCGGGGTGGGCCAGAGTGCATTGGCACACACGCTCACATGAGCAAAAGCAAACGGGAGGGGGGAAGGGAGAGGGAATGTAGGAAGAAAAATGAATGCAACATCTTTCAAGGTCACTTACACGGATTGCTTCCTGCAGCCAATGGGAAGCCAGCCAGCATTGCGGAAGGCGGTCCCCATTCTGCTTTGCGCCGGTTTAGCTTGGCGCACTGGAGCCGACCCATGGGCCTTAGGTTGCCGACCCCTAACCTAGAGCACCCTCTGCCCTTTTGAAAATTTAAGTGGGAATGGTCTGGAATCAGCTTATCACTTGAGAAAGTGACACAGACCAGAAAGAGATTGAGATCCATCCTTCCATCATGGAGAAGCTGTTGTGACCCAAACAAGACCAGAAGCCCATCTAGCATTTCCTCTCTCTGAGTTCCAGGTGCTATAGACTCTCTGCCAGGCTTACAAAGAGCACATGAGCATGTGTTAAATGCAGCAGCCACCAACCCCTTCCCTTTCCCTGGCACCATGGAAGGCAGAATGAGCTTCTCCACTTGTGTCCCAATAAGGTGCAGCAAACAGCCCCAAATTTCCCAGCAGAGTTTGGTGGCCATACAAATAGCTCAAGATTCAGTGGCTGTTACTCTTTGAATTTTATTGAACATTAAATCCATCACGCACAAGGGAGGGGGGGGAGAGGGAATGTAGGAAGAAAAATGAATGCAACATCTTTCAAGGTCACTTACACGGATTGCTTCCTCCCCCTTCCCAATGCACAACGGACGGATCCAGGGCACTGGTGTGAAAAAAATCCTGCATCAATTAACCACAAGGCCTCTGATCCAGCAGTGTGAACTTCACATCATCATACTAGAATTTTTCCCCCTCTAGTTCTATCTCAACTGGGCTACAGTCGGAATCCAGTCTGGGGCCTTCAAAGTCAACCTCAGAGGATCTAGGTCCCTTGCTGTCCAAGGCTCAATCCATGCATAATCATCATCTGGGGGGGCTAGATAAGTCATCACTGAATGCTCCCTTGATGGGATGGCTGGCCCTTCCGTGAGGCGGAGTGAAGGTGGCCAACTCAGGCAGCAGATGTTGATGGGCAGGAAGAAGTAGCAAGGTGACCAAGCATAGGCAAACTTGGCCCTCCAGATGTTTTGGGACTACAATTCCCATCATCCCTGACCACTGGTCCTGCTAGCTAGGGACCATGGGAGTTATAGTCCCAAAACATCTGGAGGTCTGAGTTTGCCTATGCCTGAAGGTGACTCTGAAATTTTTGGTTCTGCTCAGGTATCAGTCCTAGAGGTATAACCGAACATTGTCAATAATCACTGGCTGGCCGATAACTTGTGAATTTGTCTAGTCCTCTTTCAAAACCGTTACAGTCATACCTCGGGTTGAAGTTGCTTCAAGTTGAGCGTTTTCAGGTTGCGCTCAGCAGCGACCCGGAAGTAATAGAATGCATTACTTCCACGTTTCACCGCTCACGCATGCGCAGATGGTCAAAATGATGTCACGCGCATGCGCAGAAGCTGCGAATCACAACCTGCACACGCGCAGACGTGGTTTGCATTCGCTTCAGGATGCGAACGGGGCTCTGGAACAGATCCCGTTAGTTTCCAGAGGTACCACTGTATAAGCCCTATTTGGCATCTCATGTTCACGCAGATACAGCTGCACGAGGTGGGACAGTGGGTCTCTCTTCCTGACACCGGCCACTCTTTTCGCATTCTTGACTCCTGGTCACATGCCTCTCACATCCTATTATAAGCAGTGCTTTCTTCTGGGGGGTACACAGGGGTACGCATACCCCTAAACATTTTGTTAATCTTAAGTTTGGCCTCATTGAGTATTTCAATATGAGTTGGGAAATGAGAGTACCCCTAAACATTATTTTTGGGAAAAAGCACTAATTATAAGGATGTGTAAATAGTGTTTATTCCCTAAGAAGGACTGAACCATGTCTTTATTTTGGGGTTCTGGCAGTTCTTCTATAGCTTTCACTAAGTTCAGCTTAGGTTGCATGCCCTTCTGTCCCAAATACATCACTGAGATGGTACGGAATGAGCACTTTCATAGGACTATTTTGTTGCCATTCTCCTTACACCACTTTCGAAATGCTACCATGTTCCACAGCAGTTTTGCCATACACTGAGAAGTACACGACATCTGAGGTATTGCCCAAAATTGTGTGCGATGCACTATTCTTTGAAGGGTGACAAGACTAATCCAAATGGCATCCTTTATGCTGGAACAGCCCTTCTGGGGTGCTAAATGCCATGTAGCCAAAGGAATCTGATGATCTGCTAGTGTCATATCCAAAGATATAAAGGCTGAAGCCTACTTTGAAGTAAGCAGCATCTGCCCTTTGGAATCCCTTCCCCTCCTCTGTTGTCTTTTCTGCATCTGCTTTCCTCTTTTCCATCTTTCCCTTTCAACAAACAATTTAAGATCATTCCAAGGCTGCATCTGTATTGGAATCATTTTAAAGGGTTTTTTTATTATTCTTTTATCACTTCCTGTTCGCTTCCCTGGGCAACTTTGGGAGGGAGAGCAGGATATAAATTTAATAAACAAAGAAGTTTTGTCAGTGTTAGGTAAGGGGAGACCACCTGCAACAACGTTAGTTTGCACCTCTCAAATCTATGAGCATGTGAAGAGTTCCATTCTATTTCCGATATCAAGACAGTGGAAGAAACCCATTCTGATGAGATCTGGCTATTATTACAGGTATTACATCCAGGTTCAGCTGAATTTTATGTCTGGAATGCTTGGCATAACATGGAGTGTCAGTGAAAAAAATGGGTGATTATGTCTTTACATGCTTCATTGTTCATTTGTAATGCAGGATCCACACTATTAGCATCCAAAGTCATGTGGAGATCTTGCTGCTGATTCCATCCTTTTATGGGAACTTTGGCAACCTACATTTTACCTTCTGAAATAGGGTCCTTATACTCCAGAGCAGCTTTGAAACATCAATTGATAACACTAGGGGATCCTCCATAAACCCCTGGGTTTACATCTGGAGCTTCCAAGTTAAAGCATAGCTTGTAAAATAGCACCCAATATAACTGAGCTGGAATTGTGGATTAAGGGGGCCTGAAGCCATTCTTGGTTCATGCCTATTTATTTTCACCTGACTGTGTGCGACGGGTCATGATCACACTTAAGAAATTGTCCCGAGGCATTTCATCCTCATTTCCATCAAAACCCCCTGAATCACTACCACTTTCATAATAGACAGAAATAGTACCTTGGGTTAAGAACTTTGCTTCAGGATGAGAACAGAAATCGTGCAGCGGCAGCGGGAGGCCCCATTAGCTAAAGTGGTGCTTCAGGTTAAAATCAGTTTCAGGTTAAGAACGGACCTCCGGAAAGAATTAAGTACATAACCCGAGGTGCCACAGTACCAGTTCATGGAAACCACAAGAGAAGAATCCTTCTTGGGTCCTGCTTGCGGGTTTCCCATAATAGGCATCTGGTTGGCCATTATGAGAACAGGATTCTGAAAAAGATGGATCTGATCCACGGGGCTCTTCTTCAGTTCTGATGCTCTAGTGGAGAAGCCCAAGAAACATGTGGAGAGGGATTCGGCGCTGTGAATGGCATTCTCTTAAGAATAATTTTTTATTAACCGACCAATCACGTCAAATCAAACCAAATTACATAAATTCCAAATTACACAGCCGAATTTTAAATTTTTGTTGGGGGTACCCATATTTCAAGTTCCGAAGGGATCCAATCAACTTCTTGCTTCTTACTGCTGTTTTAATGTCCACAAATCTAACCTTATGATGTTCACAGTACTATCCAGTCCTTTCTTATTATTTTTCCACACCTCTTGTTGTTATTTTCATATATTTTTCCTTTCTCTTTGTGACCTCTGATAGTCTCCACAAGCTGGTTAGAACAGTTTGTAATCCTGCGTGGATATTTTTTTTATTATTATCCAGTAGCCATATCCAGACGTTTTCCATATAACATCACTTCCATACATCAAAACAGTCTTAGCGTCATTAATCTTCACCAATCTGCCTCCTTTCTCAAAACCTCTGAGGAGATTCACTAGGAATGCAGTCTGAAAACAAATCTGTTCTTCCTCCCGGCTATAAATCCTTTGGCAAGATGGCGACTCCGAATTAATTGCTGCACCATTCCCAAAAGCTCTTATTACTTCTCGGTCTCCATAAAGCATACTTTTGGTTAAAGTTTATCTCCACACAGACCTTAATCATCCTGCTTGGGTCAGTTCAACTGGTGGTTCTACTGAGGAGGGGTTCTTGTAAATCACATAGAAGGAAAGTAAAGGTTTCCCCCCCCCATTCAGCCCCGTTGTCAACATACCCCGCCTTTGGTGTATCTTCATCATAAAATATTCCTGTTTCTCCAGCCCATTGTCTTCTTTCACAGAGGTCACTTAAATTAGCAGACTTCACTCCCCTTCTTCACTTGAAATATGTGCATTTGCTTCTTTTGTAATTAATTATTCCAAATTGCTGCAACTAGTGCGCGATCAGAGACAGTGTCCAGGAGAGCCGATGTCCACACGGGGGCATTCTGCCTAGGGCCCTCACCCCCTTCTTTCGAATTAGGGGGTGATTTATGGGCACAGCAGGCAAGGGCAGTGTTCCCCATTTCCTTGGGGCAACAAGGGAGGCTGCCTACTCCCATATCAGCCTCTTAATTACCCCGTGTGGGTCGGAGAGATGGTATTGTCGGCCATCATCCAATGCGCCCCCTAGTGGCCCCCGTGAATGGCATTCTCAGCCAGTTATTCCAACAGCTGTCCCCCTGCCCCCCAAAAAAGAAGAAGCTTTCTTTCCAGTAGAAGTGTCTCTTGACGTTTGGATGAAGAGGTTTTCATAACAATGCAGTCTCTAATCATTTCCTCAGCTATGTTGCCAAAATCACAAGTCACACATAATGCAATGACATAGCAATCTATTGGCTCTCTTGGTAGTTGAAGCCTTAAATAAAATGTGTCGCTTTCAGCAATCACACTCACAGGAAGGTTTTGAAAGGCCTCTTTGCTTGTGGAAGCTCCAAAATGTGAACCACCCCAAACTTCTCTGTTCCTACTTTGGCCTGCCCTCCTTCTGAAGAAAGATGCCTCTTTTGCCCTTCTGCAGGAACACCATGGAGGAGCCTGTGCATGGGATTTATTCCCTTCTCTCAGCATTCTGACTGGGTTTAGGGCAGTAGTTCTGAGCAGGAACGCATTCAATAAAAATTTGATGTGGCACTATAGCTCAGCAGAATCATCTTTTTAAGGATTCCACCTCTGGAGTATATTCCATTTTTAGTGCATTCTTTTTGGCACTGCAAATGAACTCTTAGCTTGTTAACCAGTTTATGGGGAAGAGGAAGAGGAAGAAGGAGAAGATTGTCTCATCCTAGTATTTCCCTGAGCAATATTTAGGTTGCTCTCTATGTGTCGGGGACTCTGGGACTTGCTATGGGGAGCTCTGGATCTGGCACTGAGAACTGTCTTGGCGAGTCACCGAATCCAGTGGGTCGAATCCAACTAAGCCATGCTCCAAGTGGATCCATTGAAATTAATGGCCCAAAGTTAGTTATGTAAATTCGTTCCTATGTATCTACTCTAACATCTGTAGAGCCCTCTTCAGGCAGGAAGGAGAACAGCTGTCAGCAGCACTGGTCCCTCTGATGGACAGGAGGAGGAACCATCTGAACTGGTGGGGCTTGGGATAAAGACGAGGAGATCTGGGCTTCTCCTTTCACCTTCTGGCATGAACCTTCTGTCTGCAGCAATTACTACTATGCAACCTTAGCATGCTCCAGAGCCAGACTTAGTGCAGCCGGCCCGAGTCTTTTCCTTCACATCATCAGTGCTTCTCCCATCTCCTTCCATTTGTGAAGTGCCATGTAGAAGTCGCAAGTTTGGCTCTGAATGATACTAACGAGAGGAAGCCACCCCTGAGCCAATGGACAGGCCAGACAAGAAGCCAACTGTCCCCGGAACAGTTCCTGTGAAGCCTGTTGAGAAGAAGAAATAAATTTGCCACATTTAGTGCGGCTGTAATAAATTTTGATTCTTTGTCCTCTGAGGTTCACATTGGTTTGGCATGCAAAACGAAGCCATTTGGGGGCACAAGGATGTGGAGGATTGAGAAATGGGCCAAGAAACAACAACCACAAGGCTTACTACAGCTTGTAGGGTGATGGAAGGTCTTTCTCCATGATGTCCACCACCCTCAGGGCATCAATGTATCTTTAGCATCCTTCTCATGGTGGACATGATGGGACTGTGCGGATTTTCCCTGTGTGTGCCCTGAAATCCAGATTAGCGGGAATTGTAGTGGAGTTGGAGAATATCACCATGAAGGTTTGACTTTGCTGCAGTTTGCTTGCAAGGGTTGGGTGGAGAGACATTCTCAGAGTAGCTCCTAGACTGCAGGGTATGGATGTGTGAAAACCAGGTTGAGGAAAACTCCTTGGGTGGCCAAGGGCAAGTAGTTGCCACATCTGATCCTGCCTCTCTAGTTGAGAGACGAGAAGTCCACTCTTGGAAAAGCAGGATTCAGTTGTTACTGATAAGTAAGATGAAGTGAAAACTGATGGTTTGTTTCCTATCTATCTATCTATCTATCTATCTATCTATCTGTCTCACACTTCCAGTGAGCTGAAGGTGGTGTCTCCACTTATCTTCACAACAACCCAACAATGTCATAACAATGGCTTGACTTTGCTACAGTTGGTTTGCAAGAGATTTGTAGCTAAGTCTCTGTAGTCATTAGGGTCTGGTGGAGGGACAGAGAACCCTCCAGCTATTGCTGAACTACAACTCCCATCAGCCCCAGCAAGGATAGCCAAAGGCCAGGGATAATGAGACTTGTAGTTCAGCCACATCTGGACAGCCAGAGGTTCCTCACACCTGGTCAAGTGGAAGCTTTGAGTTTGCATTTGGTCTTTTGGTCAAAGTGGGAAAATAATCAGCAGTTGCATTTAAAAGGATGCGTTTTTTCACCTATTGCTTTTGGTACAGTTCTAATGCTAAAAGCATCTAATTTGCATTACTGCTGAGGCTTGTGGGAAATTCACCATAAGCTAAAATGAGAAAGAAAGTGGAGCTTAAAGGGAGGGATAACAGGCTGCACATAAGTCTTGCAGACTGGGGCATTCAGTTTGACAAGTTCAGAGGTTGCACAGCTGCTTGTCACCAAGGCTTCAGTGCTGCCTTAGGCTTCCCCACAGATCTTCACAGTCCTTCCTTGGAGGTATTTGCACTGCTTTGACCAAATTGTAATTGGTGTCACGATCAAGGCAAAAGAATAAAGTTTTGAAGGACAGTTGAAAACAATAAAGTCCAGCCAATGCTGTGAGTCACTTTAGATCTCTCAAAAATAGACGGTCTTTTCACCCCCTTGGTGCTCTCTAATGGCTGCTGAAATTGCTAACCCAATTTGGAACTGAGCAGAGGGGGCTTTCTCCCACAACTAACATCCGGTTTACTGGCCTGTGGTTTCCTAGTTCCACACTGGATCCCTATAAAAATGAGGATGCTGCTTCTGTCCTGCCGGCTTCCGACGTGGAAACTGTTGTACAGTTAAGCCAGCAAGTTCCTCTTGCCCTGTGCTCAGTTAAGCTTGGCCCTTCCCTGCAGCATCACCTGGGAGATCACAAATCTCAATCCCTGGGATACTAAATAAGTAGAAGGACAGTCCGGCTCTTCCATGTCTGTTTTTGCAGTCAACGTCCTCACTGTGCATGACCTGAGCTTCTGACAAGATGGAATGAGGTTTGGAAACAAACTGGGACATGCTTGCCGCACCCTAGCTGGGTGGCATAGAGGAGAATCGACCCGTCCCCCCTCCCCAATAGACCACAGAGAGTTCAGAAGACAGTCTTCTGCCTTCTTCAGACCTGTGTAGCTTGTTTGTTTCACATCAAGAATGATGAGGCCTGCACCTTGGTCCTCTCAGAGACATTATCCGGCAGCTTCCTCTTATTCATCACGGCAAATGGCCCAGACTGACTGGAGAAGTGCTTCTGTGGGAAAAGGAACAACGTTCCCCTCCTCCTTTCCCGTGGACCTGCTATACTCAAGTGCTTGGCGAGGGGGGGCGGGCTGGAGGCTCTGTCTGCAGACAGATTTCCTTGCTGCCACTAGACCTTTCCTTCAGGGGGCTCTTCCTTAGCTGAAGAGGAACATGGCCGTTTCCTGTGTGATTTGGGTCAGCTTGAAGTGGACCCCAGCTGGCAATCCACTCGAGCTCTTTTCAGAGCAAGGCAGAGACTTATCAAGAACGGGAACAGGATCTAATCACTCGCTCCAGAATGAGCTCGGTGTGGCAGCTCCCATGCAACCATTTGTTTCTGGAAGGACTAGGTCCCTCCTGAATAGGTTGATTGCCTGCTCATTTAAACATTTATTATGTTGTGCTAGCAAAGGGGGGGGCACTCATGTGGTTGTAAGCAGAGCCTCTGTAGTCTGCCTGCGAAGCCACCACCAACCCAAAGATTGCCACACTGTTCACAGCCAGAGATGGGTGGGGTGAGGTGGCGGTATTTTAGCAACTTGGGGAGCAAGGTGATAAGAGGAATGAAGGAGTAACAGCACCAGTCAGAAGGTCTGGTGCCTTTTGATTTACCCTGCAAGAATGATTGCTTTGTGGAGCTGCCATGCGGGGATGAGGCAAAGCCAGTTCGGAGAAAGGGCAGAGATTTTGTGCCCTCACTCTGTAACCTTGTGTGCAAAAAAAAAGTTGCCTCTCAGCAACTGGAACTTCTAGGGGCCCGGTTGTCATTTGTGACCATGACATTTTTTGTTGTTGTTGTTTAGTCGTTTAGTCGTGTCCGACTCTTCGTGACCCCATGGACCAGAGCACGCCAGGCACTCCTGTCTTCCACTGCCTTCCGCAGCTTGGTCAAACTCATGCTGGTAGCTTCGAGAACACTGTCCAACCATCTCGTCCTCTGTCGTCCCCTTCTCCTTGTGCCCTCCATCTTTCCCAACATCAGGGTCTTTTCCAGGGAGTCTTCTCTTCTCATGAGGTGGCCAAAGTATTGAAGCCTCAGCTTCAGGATCTGTCCTTCCAGTGAGCACTCAGGGCTGATTTCCTTAAGAATGGATACATTTGATCTTCTTGCAGTCCATAGGACTCTCAAGAGTCTCCTCCATCACCATGATACTTCCATGAAATAGGTAGTGGCAAAAAAAAAAAAAAAGTTGAGCCGCCTACTTCTGAAATGAATATAACTTTTGGTTCAGCACTAGTTTTCCTGGACTTCAGGAGGGTGGCCTGATTTTCTGTGTGCTCTCTTGGTAAGGCACAGTGCAACAAAGCCACGAGGTCCCTATGGATGCAGCTGACTTCCCCCCCCCCATACACACACTCTTAAAGACGCAGGAGCCTCATGGGCAGCAAGTGACACTGCTGATTTCCCAAAGTGCTGCTAAGATGCAGACAAACAGCATTTCAGAAACGGAAGAATAGCCACTCCCCACGTGCCTTCTTGGGTTTCAGGTTCTATCTATCATCTATCTATCTATCTATCTATCTATCTATCTATCTATCTATCTATCTATCATCTATGTGTCTGTCTACCTCTCCAATGCCTCATTATGCCGTGTGGTTTTTATCTTCTGCCTTTGACTGTTAGATTGGCAACAGGGACACATTCTGGAGAGCCACAAAACTTCTCTGAAGTCAGCACCAGCCTTTTTGCCATTCCTAATTTCTGGTCCTGCCCTTTGCTGAGCAGAACCACCTGCTAGCATTTCCTGGGACAGGCACATCCCAGGCCCAATGCCGTGTGCCTCTTTTCTGTAATTTTCAATTAAAATGCTAAAAGGATGCTCCTTTAGCTCAGCACGCCACAGAGTGCCTGGGCAGCTGACGCTGTCGTCTCAAACTTGCCAGGGTCATCTGTCAGAAATCCTTCGCCCAAATCCACTTAGGGGATTAAGGCAGCGCTTGATGCCGTGAGGGGGTGTGGCTCCAGCCGGCATCCGTGGCCATGTTGGCGGGTCTTTCTCTCTCCCCACTTCTGCTGGTTACAGTGCAGCATTTTCTTAAACAGAGGCCGGAGCAGCAGCAGAGGCCTTGTATAGGAGAAGATATGACAAATTCACAGAGGAGATTGAGCTTGACAACTCCCAGCCATTACTGTATTTTTTGCTCTATAAGACCCGCTTTTTCCCTCCTAAAAAGTAAGGGGAAATGTGTGTGCGTCTTATGGAGCAAATGCAGGCTGTGCAGCTATCCCAGAAGCCAGAACTGCAAGAGGGATTGCTGCTTTCACTGCGCAGCGATCCCTCTTGCTGTTCTGGCTTCTGAGATTCAGAATATTTTTTTTCTTGTTTTCCTTCTCCAAAAACTAGGTGCGTCTTGTGGTCTGGTGTGTCTTATAGAGCGAAAAATACGGTATGTCTAAGTAGAACTTCATAGCTCAGGGGCAGTCTACCTCTGGGAACCAGACTAGAGGCAGGTGGCAGGGGACTGACATCCTTGTCTGGGTATCTCCAGTGGCACCTGGATAGTTGCAAGGGGTGTCATTCTTCCAAACAAAAACCAGGACTGTGTTGTTCCAAACAAACCATGTCTGGGCCCCATCAGTAGTTTACTGTTGTTTTGATAGACTTTTTCCTGCCGCTTGTAGGATTTTCAAAGAATCTTTTCACTGGGGCGGGAAATGGAAGAATCCCAATATTTTATGTATTTCTTAAATGTCTGGCATTAGATCAGATTTCCAGATACAGCCAGTGTAAATATTGGGGGAGGGGGAATGATACCCAGCAGTGGCTGGTGCCCATTAGGACCAGTCAGGCGGAAGGCGGAGAGCCCAAAGAGTTGGTGGCACCAGAGCCAAGTTATTCTAGATTTGCCCCCATTCTTCTCCACGATAATAAGGACAACACCTGAGAGGAAGGTCACAGGCAGGTCTAGCTCATGAACCAGTTGTAAGTCAGAAGGCAGGCAGGTGAGGGCTGCCTCAGGCCAGACTGAGGTTGTTGGGGCAGTGCCCCATTTACCTTGTTGAAGCAGCCTCCCCAGGTGAGATGACCTTCCCACCAGCTTCCAAGAAACCCACATCTTGACATGCCTGAGGAGGGTCTCCTGCTTGGGGTTTCGTTCTATTTGCCAGGAAATGACGCTTTGGGCAAAATCTGGCCTCTTCAGAGCTGAGGCCCAGAGAAGTGTGCTAGTCTCCTTTCCCCAGGTACGTGTGTGTGTGCGTGCACGCAACCCACAATGCTGCATTGAGATGGTGGCAATAAGGAAGGCCTCAGGAGTGACTGAGAGAAGCTTCTTCTCCCAACCGGCCTTAAGCCCCGAGGAGCCCTGGCAAGTGGCTTGTGCTCTTAGCATCTCAGCATCCTTTTAAAGATTTCTTGGAACAAGTTCCTGGCCAAGCTGAGGGAGGAAAACCAATGGTGAGCATCCCTGCTCCCAGGCCCTGATGGAGGAGATGGAGGACCTGCGTCAGTGAGTGATTGCCTTTCCAATACCTCTTAGCGGAAAGCTGGAGGACCTCGAAGAGGGAGAGCTCCTGGCTATCTTTTAGTGATAAACTGGAGTCTCCAGTGAGTAAACAATTGGTTTATTCTACACTGCCACCCCCCAACTCCCTCCCTCCCCCACATTGCAGTCCTTCTTGCAGTAACATCTATTATGTCAACCCCAAAATGTGTGGAAAGCATCCTCTGTTGCTGCCCCTCCCCCCTTGCTATAGAAAAGCAGCACCAAAGCAAGTAAAATGGCCCGTCATGGGGGATGAAATATGCCCACATTCTTGGCAAAGCCTGTTTTTATTGCATGATGGTCCGAGATTCCGTGGATCAAGGCATCCGGCACTATTTCCAAATGGCTCGCTGGCCCCGGTTGTCGTCGCTCACAGGCGCTGGGGCCATTTCCCCCCCTTCTGGTTTACTCTTTTCTAGCCGGATTATTATCCATAAGTTTTGAAACAGCAAAGGATTCCTGAGTGCTTTATAAATTAGGGCTGTATTATAGCTGCACCCAACAGCGCAGCTATATTTTTAGATGGTGTCAGAGTTTCTATTATAAACCCCATTTTTCAGAGCTTTATAACTTGGCCATAAAACTTTCACTGTGCGCCAACACCCAGAATAGACCGACTGCGTCTTGCACTTCGGAGAGGGAGGGGAATTAAAATCTTTTGGCCATATAATGGGGGTGTTTCTGTGCGTGAGACCGGGAGCAGGGCATATTGATTGTTGTGCGAAGTGAAGACAGAGAGGGCTCTTCACTTTCTCAGTTCATGAGTAGCCCCTGCCAGGCAGGAAGCAGCAATCATTAATGTCTTGTCAAGGTGATCTTGATATGAAACCTCATTTGCTTACCTGCAAAGTGGAGGCAAGTTGTAGGACTGTTTCACTCAGTCGTCAGAGCACTTTTAGCACAGTCCTAAAAAGGTAACATGTCAATGGGGCAAATATGTGCTTGGGTATCATGCAGGTCCACTCACCCTGAAGGCAAACACCCCAACATTTCTCCGATGAAAATAAAAGTAAAGGTAAAGGGACCCCTGACCATTAGGTCCAGTCGTGACCGACTCTGGGGTTGCGGCGCTCATCTCGCTTTATTGGCCGAGGGAGCCGGCGTTTGTCCACAGACAGCTTCTGGGTCATGTGGCCAGCATGACAAAGTCGCTTCTGGCGAACCAGAGCAGCACACGGAAACACCGTTTACCTTCCCGCTGGAGCGGTACCTATTTATCTACTTGCACTTTGTGCTTTCAAACTGCTAGGTTGGCAGGAGATGAAAATAGGGGCATCCTATTCAATTATAATTATATTATTGATACCCTGCCCATCTGACTGGGTTGCCCCAGCCACTCTGGGTGGCTTCCAACATATATTAAAAACATAACAAAACATTAAACATTAAAATAAAACTTCCCTATGCAGGGCTGCCTTCAGATGTCTTCTAAAGGTTGTATAGTTACTTATCTCCTTGGCTCAGGGGTTGCATAACTCCAAACCCTCCAACATTTCTTCGATGAAAATAGAGACGTCCTAAGGAAAAGCAGGACCAAACCAGAAACCAAGATGGCTTCTGTAAATCCGGGACAGTCCCTGGAAAATAGGGACACTTGGAAGGTCTGTGAAGGAGCTATGCTAGCCTTCTGCTTCCTGTTCAGTGTAGATTCAGTGGCAAACCTGGAGGCAGGGTGAGGTTCTCATTCCACCATGCTGATCAGTATTGGAGTATGATGCTCAAGTTTCTGCTTCGAAAGGCACAGCTTGCAAATGAAAGGGAGACAAATTGGGAGTCTCCAGCCTGAAAGGTGGTGGGTAGCTTCCTTTTGCCTCCCCTTCCCACCCCTGTACATGAGGGAGGGGAAGGAAGAGTCCAGGGAGGGTCCCCTCCTCCCTTTGCTTCTGCATCCCTCTTTCTGCCTGGAAATGCATTTCTCTTAAGTTTATTACAGAGAGTGCTGCATTCATTTCGCCTCCAGAATGCTGCCTTGTAAGGAACACCCTATAAAATTTCGTTTCAGGTGCTGCAAACGCCACAAGAATCCATTAAAATGGGGGGGGGGGTTGCTGCTGTTGTTTTCTAAGTCATATTGAATTACAGCCTTTAGGGAGGATGTTTTTACCATCTTTCTTCTTCTTCTTTCTATCCTTTGTACTGCCCACTATTTCTAATCTAAGACCTGCCTCCCCCCAAAAAAAACAAAAAAAAATGAACCAACACATCCACTCTTACATGCATAATGCATAACGTAACTGCCGCAGACATTTTGGCAGGTGTAATGATGCTGGTTTTATAAGGAAGGCTCACCTTTAATCTCACTTCACCTGGGTCCAAACGTCAATATTTTCCCACCAAGATCCTGGCTTTGCTTGTCATTCTTTTCTCTTTCCTTCTTGTGCTTTTTAGTAGGGAGAAAGCAAGAGGGGACAGCAAGAGGAGGGGAAACTGGTTCCAGAATTGCTCAAGGCCCCTGTCCATCAGGAGCCAAGCCAGAATAAATTATGGAAAGTCATAAAGATCACATCATAAATAAATCACACAGAGTTAGAGCTGTTGTGCAAAATTCACTGGCTCACAGGATCCAGCTCGTCTCCCTTGGTGCAGGATCTTCAGATACTTTCCCACATAGAGAACTCAGCGTCAGGCCACTCTTGGAGGCTGGAAATGGTGGAACTGCCCATCCTTACCCAGGATAAAAGATAGAAA